TGTTCTGCGGTTGTGTGCACAGAAAGTTGTTCCACATTGGGCCTGTGTGTAAGCAGGAACGTCGGACTCCCACTCTGTTGACCTGTGGACCAAAAAATCACCAAGGCCCCCACACTTACCTCCCTACCCATTTGCAAAGTCCATCTTTTATGTCTCTGAGTAAAACACAATAGAGAATTCTTTTTTCTTTTTTTTTGTTCTTTCTTTATTTTGGTGACAAGTGAGATCCTTTGATGGAAACTGGATCTATAAGAAAAATAAGGACAGAGCCGTTAGTACAGTGAACATTCAGTGACATGGAACTCTGGTGGCTTTTCAGTTTTATAACTTCCTGGTGAAGGTTTAGCAGTTAAGACAACTCTGGTGGAAAAATTAACTATCTAGGATTCGAATCTCTTCTGTTCTTCACACTCACTTTCCCTTTTGGCCAGACACCCTAGGCAGTGATGCCCTTTGCACGGTGTCTGGCGTGTTCCTTGGCTCAGCCAGTGCCAGTGCCTTTCCTGTTTCTTCTCCTTCCCTGAAGTGCCCCCCAGCTACCCTGGAACCTCCCTCCCCAAAGCCAGGCTCTGGTGTGTGTAGGGGAGTTTGACTACCATTGGTGCCCGAAGGGGGTGGGAAAGAAGCCCTTTGCTGTTAGTGCCTTCTCATCAGCCAAGATAGCCGCTGAGAGAGAGGTTCCCCAAGCTTTAGGGAAGAAAATTCTGGAAGTGTCTTTCCCTTAAGAGGAAGCAGCTTTGCTGCTGTCATCAGCTGCTTCTTTACTCTGGGACATCAGACTGCTGCTTTGACTAAGGGACATCAGACCACTGCTTTGACTAAGAGCTGAGCCTACAGAGGCTAGGAGGGTTCAGTGTACCCCAGCAATGCACTCCATGCCACCCCACATTGACTCTCACACGCTCAGGGAGGCTTTCCCTGGCTAAAGCACTTCCCTGGCTTCCAAGCCAGGAGGCCATGCCCATTTGAGTTCTTCCGGCAAACAGCCACCATATCGCCTTTAAAACCACTCTTCCCTGTCATAACTGCTGCCCGCTCCCAGCATCCACCCATCTCACTTCCTCCTTGCTGGCAGGAGCCCTGTCTGGTTTGGATGGCCACCCTGCTTTTACCCAGCTGGTGGGAAGCAACCCCAGCCCCAGTCCTGGAGGTAGATCTACAGGTGATTATGCACCCACCTTGTCCCTAATAACCACTAAAACTTCAGGACTTCAATCAGACCCTTAGACTTGCAGTGTCAGTTAAATGATATGGGGAGACAACACCACAGCCTGGGCTCCGGCAGAGGAAAGTCCGGAAGAAGCCAGGGCCTGCTGACATCTCAAGCTGCAGATGCCAATTAGCACTGATCTCTACACTGGTGTCCAAGTGGTCACTGCAGTGATAATTCGACAGACATAGCAGGGTACATGGGGAAACCTCATCAGAACCACCAGGCCTGAGCTCTGTCTGGGAGAGCCATGCCAGCTGACCCCGAGGCCAGGAACGAGTTGCTTAGCTCTCAAGCCCACCTGTAAAGACCACCTCTATTCAGAGACAGGACAGGAGTCCACGCACCTGCCAGACCGTGGGGCTGGGGGATTGTTCACAGAGATTCAGTGATGTAGTAGGCAGCTCCCAGGGCCCCCAGAGCCACAGCAACAGTCCCAAGGGCTTGGAAGACATGGGATACGTTGAGTGGAGAGTTTTCTTCTAGGTCTTCTGTAGAGCAAAGCAGAAAATGGGAGTCATGGGAAGCTGGGCCTTAGTGCCTGACTACAGGCAGGAGACAGCGGCAATTGTGGTCCCCTCAGCATTGCAGGAATTACTCATCTCCCCACTAGCCAGCTTCTTCTCAGGACAGCACTTAATTCCCCCCACCCTTCCAACAAGGCCCCTCAGGATGTGAGGATGAACTGGTCTGGGGTGCCAGGAGCCCTGGAGACTGAGAGGGGGAGCAGCGTAGGAAGGTGATCCAGGCAGCCTTGCGCGAAACACCTCACACCCAGTGTCTTTCTCAAGCTCCACAACAACCCTGTGAGGTGGGTTCTCTCACTTCACTCCATTTTGGAGATGAAGAACCTCAGGAAATAATATATTACACCCACTACAAGGGCCAAGAAAATAGATGATGATGCTAATGATTGCGAGGAAGGCATTCAAACAATCCAATATCCATTTTGATAAAAACCCTACAAAAATAGGAATTTGTATTTAATGTGAATGTGCACTTAAAGCCAGGAGCCAATGTTATGCTCCTTTGAGAAATGCGAAGATTGTGGGTGCAGGTGCTAAACTTCGGTCAGAATTAAAAGCACATATCCTGCCCTGGCCAGATTGTGTCTTGCCTCTGCCCCTTTGCTCCCCTAACTCTGAGCCTTGCTTCTGCCTTTTCCTCCACCTAGAATGCTCCCCCTTTGCATTTTAAACCACAGAAGATCCCAAGATCCTTCTGGACTCAGCTCATGTGCTGCTGTCACTACACCATCCACCTATAGGACACAGAGCCTTTTCTATCTTGCATTTTGGTTTCTTAAGGCATGTAGCTTAGCTTACCATGCAGACCGTTCAAGTTTAAGGGCGAGGTTCCCTGTTCTGGTTTCCCTCCTAGCACCTACCATGTTTCCCCGAAAATAAGACAATGTCTTATATTTATTTTTTTCTCAAGAAGACACACTAGGGCTTATTTTCAGGGGACATCTTATTTTTTATTTTTTTTTTAGACGGAGCCTCAAGCTATCCCCCTGGGTAGAGTGCTATGGCATCACAGCTCACAGCAACCTCCAACCCCTGGGCTCAAGCGAGTCTTCTGCCTCAGCCTCCCAAGTAGCTGGGACTACAGGCACCCGCCACAACGCCCGGCCATTTTTTGTTTGATTGCAGCCATCATTGTTGTTTAGTGGGCCCGGGCTGGGGATTTGAACCCGCCACCTTAGGTGTATGTGGCTGGCGCCTTAGCTGCTTGAGCCTCAGGCGCCGAGCCGGGATGTCTTATATTTATTAAGTATAATACAACAATCTACATTTATTCGAATACACTTAAGTCATCTTCTTCTGGAACATGACAGGGGGAGCAGACCTTATTGGTGGGGCTGGTGCTAGTGATGTGTGAACTCCTTTCCCCTAGCCGTTTGCACGTGCAATAGGATGCCTGCGACCTTGGTTACTACACATGCACCCGCCCAAATGTGAACGGCTCGGAGAAAGGAGCTGTGGCAGACAAAAGGTAGTCTAGTCTTCCTTACTGCTCCATGCTGAAATGCATGGTGTGGCTATGCAGCATATCTGCATTAGCCACACTCATCCCTAGGTCTTATTATTGGGGTAGGGCTTATATTTAACAAATGCATAGAAATCCTGCTAGGGCTTATTTTTTGGGTAGGTCTTATTTTTGGGGAAACAAGGTAGTCACCCCTGCAGAGCAAGTTTCCTCAATAACACTTGTTGGTTTTCAACCACTATGAACCCCAGGCACAATTTGGCCACAGATAGATGGAAGTACCAAGTATGTTGGGGCAAAGTCCTGAATGGTGGCAGGCAGGCCTTCCTTGAGGGGACTTGACTAGCTGATTGAGTGTATTTTGGCTCCAGGTATGTTCTTCCCACATACTCCACACATGCTGGCTTCTTTCCAGGTGTAGAAGAGATGACTTTTTTTTTTTTCAACTACAGACAGGAGTGGGGACTAGGAGGGGAAGCTCTGCTCCTGGGCTAGGGACACATTGCTAAGGGGAAGGGCCTCTTCCTGGAGATCTGTCAGCTCCCTCCTAGCCCATGCTCTGAAGAACAGGTGTCATCTTCAGTCTGTTCTCCTGTCATGGACCAGGGTCTTCCCTGAGGGACAGTAGCAGCCATGACATTTCTGCAGGCTTTGTGGCAGTGTAAAGGAGGGCAGATACTGTGGGTGATGCTTTGGGGGCTGCTACTGACACAGCAGCGTGGGGGCACATGTTTCCTGTGCGGACTCGTGGAAAGAACCTGACCATACTCTGAAGGAGGCTGAGGTCTTTTGATTATGTGGACAGGAGTTATAATCAGTTGCTATTACTGAATTTGGGAGGGGGAAATTCATTGCAGGTCAAGAACCTAGAGCCCATCTGTGGTATAGGCCACAGAGGCGGCCATGGAGGTGCATGGCCAAACAGTGTTTAATCCAAAGCTTCTGAATGACATGAAATTTAGGAAGGGCTGTGGGGATGTGCTCTGGGAAGAAAGAGCACCTTTGGAGAAAAGAAAAATGAGATCTTTAAAGAAGCAATTTGCAGCATGGGAGAAAACTGCCACTTCTCCATGCAAGTGGGGGGCCTAGAAGGTGCATCTGGTTAGAGAGGGCCCCGCCTGCCAAACCCCAGAGGGGATAACTCAGGGAAGGCTTTCCTTTTGGCATCTGATTCTCAAGAGAAACGAAGTTACCCATGACTGCTAAGGTCTGGGAACAGAGCCTGGCCCTGGGAACTTGTGCCCTGAGGCTCCAGCCCCCTAGAATCGGAACCTGTAGAAGGTGAGAAGGTTTGGGAATCCTCTCCCTGGCACGATCTGCCAGTCCCGAGGCAGAAGGATACCGAAGATGCGGCTATGGCATAGCCCCAGACGACACCAGCAAGTGGACCTGCCAGGGCACAGGGCACAGGAGCAGGTATGCAGGGCCAGATGCAGCTGAGGCCCTGGGGACACAGAAAGAGAGAGATGAGGATGCACCGCTCCAGGAGACTGAGGACTGGCTGGAACACAGTCCCAGAAGGCTCCACTGACAGTCACACTGCTCACGCAGAAGCTGTAGGATTACCAGGGAAAACACTAGACTTTTAAAAGGCATCATTGAGGATCTGGGACAGAACTACCCAACGAAAGCAGTTCTTCCACGAAATGTTGGTTTACCAAGTGGAAGACTAACCATAGGAAAACAGCTGTTTATAGACTGCTACCTAGGGATGATAATGATAGTAATCGTAATAACAATGCAATAGCTTACACCTGTTGGTGCTCCCTACTTCACGTCATTACCCATCTCCATTAACTATTACAACAATCCTGTGCAGTGGAATATTGTTAGTCTCGTTTTACAAATAAGGAAACTGAGGCTCAAAGAATATAAGGGACGTGCCCTTATAGATTATAGTAGATTGCAAAAGTGGACCTTAACACAGAATTTTTAACTTTTAATAATTTAACCGAATTTGTGGAAAGTCATGCAAGCTGCTGACTGCTCCTCCCATAAGAGGCTGCACTGAGATTCCTGGAACTGGAGCTGCCTTGATCCATTTATCTAGGGCAGTGGTTCTCAACCTTCCTAATGCCGTGACCCTTTAATACAGTTCTCATGTTGTGGTGAACCCCAACCATAAAATTATTTTAGTTGCTACATCATAGCTGTAATTTTGCTACTGCTATGAACCATAATGGAAATATCTGATATTAGACAATCCCTGTGAAAGGGTCACAGGGGTCGCGACCCACGGGTTGAGAACTGCTGATCTAGGGTCTATTGATCCAGCCAGAAGAAGACAATCACTGCTCTAGTTTACAGTCCTGGAAATACATTCCCAAATATATCCTCCATTTCTGTCCTCCTCTGGTGGATCCCAGCAGAACTCAGAGTAGACACTCTGTGTTGGCAAGAGAATTTCTGGCTGGATAATTCCCTCCTATTTCCTACTCAACTTCTGCACAGAGCTACAGATTCTTCCAGCCGTAAGCTCATGAAGCTAATGGTCAACTCCACCTGCCCATCTTGGAATGGAGAAAGGGCAATTCTAAAGGCAAGACTTATCTCTGTTCTTTCTTTAGTTTAAAGAACATTTTAAAATCAGGATATTAATTCCCAGGACATAACCTTCACCCTCTTAGTGTGTTCAGTGGTTTTAGTGTATTTACAAAGGTGTGTGACTATCACCACCGTGTAATTTCAGAACATTACCATCTCCCCATCTCCCCACAAAGAAGCTCCACCCCCATTAGTAGTCACTCTCCATTCCTCTCTCCCCTCAGTCTCTGGCAATAAATTTGCCTAGTCTGAATATTTTATACAAATGGAATCATCCAATATGTGGGTTTGGGGGGAACTGGCTTCTTTTACTCAGCCTAATGTTTTCAAGGTTATTTATGTTGTAGCTTGCATCAGTACTTCATCTCTTACCATTGCCAAATGGTATTTTATTGTATTCATTATATTGTGGTATTTCATAGCATAGTTGTTTTGATTATCCATTCATCAGTTGATGGAAATTTGGGTTGTTTCCCCTTTTTGGTTATTATGAATGCTGCTATGAACATTCATGTATAAATTTTAGTGTGCATATACATTTTTAATTCTCTTGGGTGTATACCCAAGAGTGGAACTGCTCAGTCATGGGGTAACTTCATGGTCCTCTAAGGAACTACCAGACTGTTCTCACTGCAGCTTGACCTTTTCCATTCCTACCAGCAATGCACGAGGCTTACTCTCTCTACGTCTTTATTCACACTTATTCTCACTCATCTTTTGATTACTGCAGTGGAAAACTTGTGTTTTCTTGAGTTACAATATTTTATGCACACAAAAAGTCTGGATTATAGAAAATACAGGCCCTCATCCTATATCTCCAACATTCCTCCTCCTCATTCTGGTTCGAAGGGGAAAGCTTCTTTGGAAGAAGAGTAGGGTGTTCATTGTAACCACAGATTTGGGAATGAAAATACTAGTTCTGAAGACTGTAATCCAGAAATGTTTTTCTCAGAGGCTCATGATCACAATATGTGAGACATATAATGCGCCAGATTATGACCATATATTAAGAACTAATTGATTTTGGGCCACAGAAAGATAGTTCCATGGTGACACTTTGGATTCAGCATTCTTCCTCAAAAATCTCATTTATTTTACACACAGCCATCTCAGAGGGATACACTAAAGCCCAGGGAATGTGGCCTGTTTAGGGCCACAAAGCCATGGGCACTGGCTTAAGGCAGATCCAGGAGACATTCAGAGAGAAATTTTCTTCCTCTTAGGGAGATCACCAAACCTCTTGAAATTGAAAGGTCAGTGCTGTGGTTAAGAGTGAGGATTTTGGAGTCAGAACACAGTGAGATTCCTCTTTCTGCCCCACCAATGCCTACTAAAGAATGACTTGTTTGTCTCCAATGAACCTCAGTTTCCCCATCTATAAAATGGAGATGATAACTGAACCTGTACACAGTAAATGCTCAGTGACAAAAAGTAGCTATTCCATTATTTTTAGTATAAACCAGCCTACGTCCTAAACTTCGCTTAAATTTCCTCCACACAATCCAATGCTTATCCATATTCTGTTTAGCTCCCAAGAAGATGGGGAACCACTTTTCCCAATGGTCATTCTATTTTCAGATAGAGCTAATTGTTGGAACATTTTTAAGGTTGAACAGAAATCTGTCTGTTTCTAGTATTTTCCATGGGTAAGGTTGCCAACTTAGCAAATGAAAATGCAGAGCGCCCATGCAACATTTGGGATACATATACTAGAAAATTATTTGTTGTTTATTTAAAATTAAAATTTAACCGGGAATCCTGTATTTTATCTGGTTTACTCTATCCATGGACTCTTAGTCAGACCTCTGGGAACAAAATAGAGTAAGTCTACTCACACCTTCTACCCGGCAGACAGACATCTTCCAATTCCCTCAACCAATCGTCATACACCAAATAGTTCTTATCTCCCTGAACCTGGTAATCTGGACTATCTTCTTTGAACTAGTTTTTAAGGCACCATTTACAGCCGACAAGGAGAGCCTGATGAGGACACAGAAAAGCAGTACGACCATTTCCCTCATTCTAAACCTATTCTGCTATTAGTGCATCCTTGGTTTTTATTTTTTAGCAGTCACGAGGCACTTCTACCTTCTAACAAACAAGTACTGCCACAATATGTATGCATGGCTGCCTTCAATGAGACTCAGGATGGTAAGGAATGACAAAAGCCAGGAATCCTGGTCTCTTGGGTAGAAACAAAAACAAAACCCTTCACACTTGACAAGCACCAGTCTAGAACACGTTAACTATACACCACCGTCCTATCAGAACCAGCCTCTGGCATTCCCCAAGACTCCATCAGCAGGAAAGCTAGAACTGCTGAAGCTAGAAGACTGCCCACCTGTTTTTCTGGATTGAGGGGCTGCTTTTTGGTCAGCTTTTGAAGGTACCAGGCGCCCAGAGGAGTGGCATTTTTCAGAAGATGGAACGGTTTGGGCGGCAGGCTGCTGGGGGGTGGTTTCAAGGCTAGGATGCTGTGGAGTAGAGTCAGAGCTATGCTGTGGTGAGCTGGATTCAATACTAGGCTGCTGTGAGCTGGATTCAGGGCTGGGCTGCTGTGAGAGGGAGTCAATGGTAGCAGGCGGTGTGTTGAAATCTCGGCTGCGTTTGGCCTCTGTCCTTTTCTTTTTGCCCTTCTTCATGGTGAGGCCTCCCAACTTAAATGTGGACCTACATGGAGCTGCCTAATCTCCCGGCTCCTTGGGAGCCATTTGTCTTCTGCCCTAGGGGTCTGGCTCTGGCCTCTGACTGGACCTGGGCCCCACAGAGGACAGTCACTCATGCCTCCTGTGAGGTCATAGAAGCCAGGTTGGCTCCTATGGCGGGGCTCCAGAGACAGTCTTCTCCTCGGACACCACCCTGGTGTCCTCCCTGCTCCCACCCTGCCAAGACAGGGCAAGGGCAGCAGCTGCCCTGCCCCTCACAGGCCTGGTTGTGCCTGCTGCAGAGCCTGTGACAACTACACCCCATGATTCTGCGACTGAAGCGCCACCTTCAGGCACCTGTCCGCTGGTGTGTTCCTGGGTTCATGTGAGCTATGTCTTTTGCTCTAAGACATTTGGGATGTGACTCTCAGCTCTGTCACTGGTTTCCACATACCAGAAAAAAGAAAAAAAAGAAAAAAAAAGAAAAGAAAAGAAAAAATGCTCAGCATGCATCTAGTGAGTTTTAGGTAACTTTCCTGAAGATTTGGAGCTTCTTTGAAGGTTTCACTTTCCATGCCCAGAGCCTTCTACTATCTCAGAATAACCTTCTCCTCCTCTCAAATCCTTCCCTCGCTCAATGTGGGACATGCCACCCAAGGGGACATTTGGGAATGGAGATTGGCAGGGGTAGCTTTAGTTTTATAAGAACCCTTGCATTTGGTGGAGAATTATTCCAGAAAATGTAATGGCTGTTCAGAAAACTAAAATTTTCTCAAACTCATTACATTGGCAACCACACACTGACCATCTCCCAAACCCCCAAACTCGTAGTAGTGCCACACAGGGAACCACGAACCTTTCTCTAAATTAACAATGTGATTTTCATTTTAGGATGGAAGAGGGAAAAGTTTTTTTAAAAGATGATCTAAACCTCACACTTTGCAACATAAAAAGCATTCAGATTAGAAGACTGCTTCCACCAAGTTAAACAGGTAAGTATCTGACTGCTAAGCCCATGAACTCGCCCCAGGATAAGGATTAAGGGCAGGCCTACCTAGATAAAAAGGGCTCATAGGAGTTTCCAAGCCAGGCCAATCATGAAACCACAGGACCTATTTTAGGGCTTCTAGAGCTTGAAAGGACTTTGTCAATGATCTTTTTGCATAAGAGGACAGCAAGTGTGAAGAAGTTGAGTCACTTTTCCAAAGTCACACAGCTGGTTTCAGCAGGGCTGAATTCCAGTTCAGGGTTCTTTCTTTTCATGACTGCAGAAGGCAACAGGGAGTTCAATGATTACACGTGCTTTAAATTAAAGAATTAAAAAATCCCTGAAGAAAAACAAACAAGCTAAAGGTATGAAGGATTAGAACTAAGGGGAAACTCAGATTAAGAGGATTACATTTTACTTGGCTGACTTTGGCATGAGCCAGGTCTGGGAGAGATGATTCTATAAGAAGATGGTAATTCTCTGAAGTTGAGAGAACGGATCCCACTTAGGGGGATTCTAAGGGGATCCCACTTAGAATCAGAGAAACTAGAAACCCAGGCCAGAAACCCTGTTGGGATTTAGCAGATAGCTCTGGAACTCCTAATTGGATTTCAGATACCAATGGGCTTTGACTGAGGGCCTCAACTTGGTTTAAATTAGAGTCTCTCACCCTCAACCCTAATGACATTTGAGGGTAGGTGATTCTTTTGGGGGGGGGGGAAGGTGTCCTGTGTTTTGTAGGAATTTTACCAGTATCCCTGGTCTCTACCCATTACCACTCTCCATTACCCATGATAACCTAAAATGTCTCTAGACATTCCCAAATGTCCCCTTGGGTGGGGTGTCAAATTGCTCCCTGGTTGAGAACACTGGTTTAAATGAATCAGATAGGGGTAGACATATATAGGTAGAATTTCCTTCAGCAATGAAAGAAACATTCCATTTCACCCAAAGGAGTCAAACCGCAGAGAGAACAGGTTTCTGTTCCTCAGAAGAGAGATGGAGGAACTAGGACAGGCTTAGGGAGGAGGGGGGAGTTTTTCTATGGCAGCAGCGAAAATGTTTGTGGGTCCTTTAGTAAGGTGGTCCCAAGAAGCAGAAAGAGGGCACTCTTGGATGAGAGGTTGTCCCAGAAGAATGAGGAAGAATGAGACTGCAATAGATCTTTGCTAGAATGTCTTCCTTTGGAGAATGGCCTTCTGCTTGAGCACAAGTTCCTAGCCTGGAAGCATGATTCTTCTATAATATGGACATAATCCTCTGCCCCAGGCTTAATTGCCACCATGCTGCTACCTCTGTTCAGCTCTAGCTAACAGTGAGCACCAGAGGTCCTGTGAATAGGCCTAGATTTCTGGCGTTTTTTGGAAGCCCTTCCCCTTTATTACTGCCTCCCCCATCTCTATCAAAGAATTTCCCATGGTCAAGTGTATTTATTTCCTTATAAAGCCTTTCTTGAGATCCCCAACTAGAAACTATCTTTCCCTCTCTAGCCCCAAAGCACCTGTTTGTATGACACGGATCACATTCTGCACAACCCCAAGACCGTGGAGACCCCAGAGGACCATGTAGAGTAGGGGCTCCGGGTGGTGCCTATGGCTCAAAGGAGTAGGGCACCGGCCCCATATGCTGGAGGTGGCAGGCTCAAACCCAGCCCCAGCCAAAAAATGAAAAAAATAATAAAAAAATAGAGTAGAGGCTCAACACAAGCTGCTTGAATAGAATGAACGTGAACGCAGGAGAGAGCAAGCAGGAAGTTGTGAAAGCAGGAAGGTGCATATGAGTGACGGGGACAAGGCACTTTTAGGCTTCCTCACTATAGAGCTGATTTCTAGCCTCAGCTGAAGATCCTGGTTAGAGTAATCCATAGGCAAGGGGCTTTCCTAACCAGGCATGCCAGCCATGTGAAAACACTGCAGACTATTTAGGAGAGGGAGAAGAATGAGTCTAAGGAGATTTGAAGTTTGATAGGCAGGAAAAGGTCTTGTGGGAGTTATAAACCCCTTCCAGAAGGCCTCTGATGGTTCTTGCCCCTGGATGTGTCCTGGGCACCCAGAACAATCATGTCACCATTTGTCCTGAAACTAGCTGGACAGTGCCTCAGACATGAACTGGCTCTTCACTGTTACAACATCACATGAGCAGGAAACTGGTCCATAGAGAGGACGGCTTGCTCTGGTCCCCATGAGGGTGGCAGAGGCTTGAATATCCCAGGCTTGCACTCCTTTGCCAAGAGCACATCCTTAGTCCCGACTGCTGCCCCTGGAAGGGTGAAGCTGTGAGGGGCCTCTAGGGACAGAAGGTACAATACGTGGTGCTCACTTAAAAGCCCACTGCTGAGACCCACAGATTAACTCCCCAGAGCTACAGGCCTGGATTCCCTGATAGGAACTTTTCAAGGCTGTGATTGAGAATTCTGCAGTAGTCCAGCGACTCTGATAAGTACCATCCTTAGAAGCTTGTCGTGAGGATTAGATGATAACAGCCTTTAGAGCAGAGCCTGGCTGGCTGTGGACATGTTTTTATTGTAACTGTTATTCCCTGAAGAAGACTAAAGGACCAAGCAAGGAATAAGCGGATGTGGAGAGGAGGAAGTGGGGCCCCTGGTCCCACAAAAATCCCAAATCAATATCTTACAAAAGCGTGATTCTAAGTAGTGGGAAATGTGCCCTGAGTTGTGGGTAGAGTGAATAGGTGGATAGTGTAGCCCTCCAAATTAAATTAATTGGAAGACTTTTGACGCTGAGATTGCCCCAGAGAGCACATCTAGTTCACCTCCACTAAAACTGTACCCCAAACTCCTGGAGGCACCAGGTGAGGGGTTGTGGCGTCAGTTTGTCGGCTACTCAGGTGAGCAGTAATCTCAGGGGACAGGACTCCGTATTTGAGCGTCCCTCCTCCCCGGGGCACCCGCGGCGTCCAGGGGTTCCCAGTCCCCTGTCCTCAGGCCCCTCACCATCGGTCTGGGTCTCCTCATCCACTAGGGAGGCCCTGGGCGCTTGGCCAGCGGCGCGCTGGACGTCCAGGATGCCTTCGCGGCGGCCGGGGCGGAATACCGCGGTGTGCACCTCCACGGCGGGGCTGTGAGGCAAGAAGACGCTGCTGAGCAGGGCCTCCATGCGGCAGCGTGCCTCGGCCTCTTCGCCGGCTTGCGGCTGCACGATGATCCCGAGGAGCGCGGCGGGCTGGCGGCGGTTCCGGGCGCGCACCTGCTGCAGGAGCAGCTGTAGCCGCGGCAGCTGCGATGTCAGCGCCGATGCCCGGCACAGCACTAGAAGCAGCTGCGAGCCCCGCTCCGGCGGCGCCTGGCATCTCGTCGCCGCCTGGTGTTTCGCCTCCCAGGGCCTGGAGGTCCCAGGCAGCGCTCCGGGCTCCTCGAGCACTTCCTCGGCCTCCTGCCTGCAGTGCTGCGGCTGATCCGTGAAGCGCTGGAACTTCGCTGCCGGGCAGTCGTCGCCATTCGCGGAGCTGCTGCCCAAGCGCTTGGGCCGCCGCGTGGCGCAGCTGCTGGGAGTGCTTTGGACGCTCATGACACCGCTGGGAGAGGGTCCGGAGAGCTGATCGGTCGCGGCGTCCCCCAGACAGTTGTGCAGGGTCATGTTGCACTCATCCTGCCTCCAGAACTCGCTTATCAGCAGCATCTGGCCTCTGTCCTGGATGGACTGGACGGGAGCCTGTTGCTGAGCCTCAGCCCTCGGCTCCTGAGGACTTCCGGGGTGCCAGGCCCCCTGCCACTGCTCCATGTCCGGTCCGGCTTCCTTGCCCCTTTGGGTCGGGTCCTCTGTGGGCCAAGGCAAAGCCGCGGTTTCCCAAAGCATGTCACAATACCCCTGCGCCCGGCCTCTTTCTGTCGTGGCCAAGGGCCTCTGCCCTGCTATTCCCTGGAAATCTTCTAACTTAGGCAAGTTGCTGGTTTAATGCGGTCTGTGATTAGCATCTCCACCGTTTTGTAGGACTGTAGTGTCAAAAGGTGCATCCTTTTGTCCCATGCAGCCTCCAGGTAAAACCTGGGGCACCTGAAAAGCAGTGGATTGGGATGCTCACTGCATCTGGAACTTTCACAAACCATTGAGGAGCAGAGTGGCGGCTCTGAGTGGCTGTGGCCTGGGAGGCAGGACTTACCTGGGCATCTGCTGGCTGAGTGATCTGGGGGCCAGAGTCCTGGACTGGTGAGGTTGCAGGAGATAGTTTGGGGTCTCCTCAGTTCCAGCCTTGTGTGGGTACCCTACCTGTCAAAATGTTAGGTAGGGTGTTCTGGAAAAGAAAACAATGCAAAAAGCACAAAACTGCGTAGCTGGCCAGCACATGGGACAAGTAAATAGTGTCCTGGGGAGGTGGGACAGGGACCCAGGACAGCTGCAGAGACTGGAAACCCAATGGTGGGGAAAATTGTTCCCATT